AGGACACGTATTAGACACTTAGTAAAGACTTGTTGAGTGAATGGTTGATAGTGCATATGAATAAGTAAATAATAATGAAAGGAAATGACTTTCAAAAAGAAGTTGTAATTGCATTACTGTTTTGAAACATCACATGTTTAAATATGCATTATTACTAGTGCTGCTAGAGTTTTATTGCTGTTCTGCTACTGGCTTTAGGTATTATCTCGTGCAAGACACCTAATTCAGGCAAGAACCAGCCTTGGCAGGTTCTTATGACTATTTTTCCTTGCAGTTCTAATATCGTGTACCTCTTGACTCACTTGATCTCCTTTTGGGGAGTTTAAAGTTTAATATGTATGACTCTGCTTGTTTATTCTATCCTTAGGTAGGAAGTAATTTAATAATATTGCCATTTTCCATTTATAAAAACTTATAAGTTAAATGGACTTGACCAGATAAAGCATACTAAAAAGGAACACGACTAGACTTCACAGTGAACATAAATCTGACTAGCACCTAATGTTGTTCTGTGATTTTCCTAGGTTTTTGTTCTTTCTTTAGAAAAAGAGCATTTTCACAATTTTCTAATTAATTAAGTAATATAGGTTCGACTCAGAAAACAGAAAAGAACAAATAAAAATGTACTTAGACTTCATCACACACAAGTAACTACTTTTAAGGATTTTGCTATAGCTTTTCTTGAACTCTATCTTTTGAGACAAAGTTTCGCTCTTGTTGCCCAGGCTGGAGTGCAATGGCACAGTCTCAGCTCACTGCAACCTCTGCCACCTCCCAAGTTCAAGAGATTCTTGTGCCTCAGCCTCCCAAATAGCTGGGATTACAGGTGCTACCACCTCGTGTGGCTGGGGTTTTTTTGTGTTTTTAGTAGAGATGGAGTTTCCCCATGTTGGCCAGGCTGGTCTCGAACTCCTGACCTCAGGTGATTCATCTGCCTCAGCCTGCCAAAGTGCTGGGATTACAGGTGTGAACCACCGTGCCTGGCCCTATCTCTGTATATATTTACACAATGTATATTTTTGTACATAGAGCTTTGTACTTTTATTTAGCAATGTGTCAGCTATGTTTTCATGTCATTACATATTTAAAACTTGTGAGTAAGGCTGATTTTTAAACACTGTATTTAATAATTTTTAATAATAGTAAGTTATAATGATTACAAATTTTATTTCAGTCAATCCCCTGCATTTGAACATTTAAGATGCTTTCAGTTTTCATTATTATCAATTATTATTACATTTGGAAACAAATTTTCTATACATAAGAAATTATTATAAAATATTGATTATGATGTTTAGGTATACATATTAGGAGTATATACAAGTTGCCCTTTAGCCCTTGTATTTTGTAAAAATCTGTTCTTTATTTTTGGAAGGCCAGATTTTCAAATGCTTATCTCAATATAATTTCTGGCTTATCTGAACTTGGGCATGAGGAATGATCATGTAATCTTACAAGTTACGACTATATCTTCATGTCCTTTTTTCTTTTTCGCTTCTTCCTTTTTTTCCCTTCATGGCCTTTTTATCCCCCATAATTACTTATGAGAAATTGGGCTAGGCACTGCACATAAGGGAAATAATGACAAATATAACTCTCGCCCTGGGAACCATTTACTCTCAACCATTGGTTGGTCATCACCAGTCATTTCAATGAACTTCAGAATAATTTTGTTTTCTGTCCAAGGAAAAGGCCACTTGGAATTTTTGTTAAAATTATATTCAATGTGTTATCTAATAACAGAAAGTATTGACATCTGTAAAATCCTGAGCCTTCCTATCTGTTCCTGAATCTATTTATAAGCATAATATTATATTATCTATAAACATCATTTTTGAATCTATTCAGGTCATGTAAGTAAAATGTTTCCATTTCCTTCTTTAGGCCCTATAAATAAATTGTAAATAATTCTCAATTATGGTATCAATTACTCCATGCTTTCTAGATACAAGACACTGTGCTGAACATTTTGCATGAATAATTTTTTGTTTTGAGATAGAGTCTCACTCTGTCTCTCAGGCTGGAGTGCCCTGGTGCGATATTGACTCACTGCAACCTCCACCTCCCAGGTTCAAGCAATTTTCCTGCCTCAGCCTCCTGAGTAGCTGGAATTACAGGCACCTGCCACCACACCCTGCTAATTTTTTTGCATTTTTAGTAGAGATGGGGTTCACCATGTTGACCAGGCTGGTCTTTCTACTCCTGATCTCAGCAATCCATCTGCCTGGGCCTCCCAAAGCATGAATAATTTTATCTAACCTTCACAACAACTACATGAAGAGGGAAAAATTACCTCTGATACACAGTTGGGGAAATTGAGGCTCAGAGAGGTTATATATCTTTCCCAGAGCAATATACCTAGCAACTTGCAGAAGATTTTGAGATCAAGCTGTTTGAAAAAAAATTAAGTTAACTTTTTATTAAAGTATAACATATGTAGGGAAATGTACAAAATAATAAATGCATAGCTCAATGGATTTCTATAAAATCAACATATGCATGTAATGAATACACAGAACATTACTGGTATCCCCAGATACCTCTCAGGCCCTCTGGCTGTCATTAATTCCCTTGGGGATAACCAGTAGTCTATTGTTTGTCACTGTGAATTAGCTATGCTTTATTTGGAAATTCACTTTTCTGTGTCTATATTAGTTTGTTCAACATTGTACTTTTCATTTGGTTGGGTTTACCTATAGTTTTTTCATTATTGTGTAGAATTCCATGTTATACATAAAACACAATTTATGTATGTGTTCCATAATAGATAGCATTTGAGTTGTTTTCAGTTTGGGATTATTTAAATAATGTTACTGAACATACTTTTCCACGTCTGTTGGTGTGTAAATTTCTATCAAGTATGTACTTAGGAGTGGAATTGCTGGGGAAGCATATGCTCAGTTTTGGTATAAATTCCCAGGTTTCCAAAGTGACTGCATCCTTTTCCATTTCTCATTGCAGTTTCCGAGAGTTCTTGTTGCTCTGGAACATTTTACCCTTGTGTTTTTTGAACTGACAATTGTCAATAAAATAGAACGCTGTCTATTTTTTCCCTGTATGTTCATTTTACCTATTTTGTTAAGTATCTTATATATTTTTTAAAAAATGCTGTAAAATCATGGTAATGTCTCTACCTTTATTTCTAATTTTATATATTTATACATTATTTATTACATTGAGAGTTTGTTGTTGGTTTAATATCTGGCAAAATATCTATAAAAATTATTAATTCTATTGTTTAAAAAAATTAATATTTTCTTCCTTCATATTTATTGTTTTTAGTTTTCCTGAGGCTTATTTATCAATCTTCATTAGCAGAATGCTTACCTAATTGATTATTGTTTAATAGCAGATTGTCTCTGCTAATAGAGTGACCAACATAAATCCAAGAGAAATTTGCTGGAGAGATACTGAGTATACAGTACTTTTTCTTTTTTTTTTTTTTTTTTTTTTTTTTTTAATTTTTTATTGGATTATAGGTTTTGGGGTACATGAGCAGAGCATGCAAGACAGTTGTGTAGGTACACACATGGCAGTGTGCTTTGCTTTTCTTCTCCCCTTCACCCACATTTGGCATTTCTCCCCAGGCTATCCCTCCCCACCTCCCCCTCCCACTGGCCCTCCCCTTTTCCCCCCCAATAGACCCCAGTGTTTAGTACTCCCCTTTCTGTGTCCATGTGTTCTCATTTTTCATCACCCACCTATGAGTGAGAATATGCGGTGTTTCATTTTCTGTTCTTGTGTCAGTTTGCTGAGGATGATGTTTTCCAGATTCATCCATGTCCCTACAAACGACACGAACTCATCATTTCTGATTGCTGCATAATATTCCATTGTGTATATGTGCCACATTTTTCCAATCCAGTCTATTATCAATGGGCATTTGGGTTGATTCCAGGTCTTTGCTATTGTAAACAGTGCTGCAATGAACATTCGTGTACATGTGTCCTTATAGTAGAACGATTTATAATCTTTTGGATATATACCCAGTAATGGGATTGCTGGGTCAAATGGAATTTCTATTTCTAAGGCCTTGAGGAATCGCCACACTGTCTTCCACAATGGTTGAACTAATTTACACTCCCACCAACAGTGTAAAAGTGTTCCTTTTTCTCCACATCCTCTCCAGCATCTGTTGTCTCCAGATTTTTTAATGATCGCCATTCTAACTGGCGTGAGATGGTATCTCAATGTGGTTTTGATTTGCATCTCTCTGATGACCAGTGACGATGAGCATTTTTTCATATGATTGTTGGCCTCATAATATGAACAGATACTATACAGTACTTTTTCATTCAGACAGAGAGAGATAGAAACAGAGACACACACAGAGAGAAATAAGGAATTAATTATCCATTTCCTTCCCCAGGACTTTGCCACGTCTGCATGTATGGATGAAAAGTGTGATTTTAATCTTGCAACTAGGAAGGGAGTTAGTGACAGGGAGAACTACAGAGCAGATGATTAAAGATAAGTTGGTCTTTTCTGATATCCTGAAGTCATTGCTTTTCATCTAACTTCCTTTAATTAAAGACCAAAAAAATTAAAAAGAAAAAAGGAAATAAATATTTTCCCCAATTTTTAAAAGTTTGAATTCTGTTTTCTGTTACTGGCCAAGGCATTCTAACTGATACGCTATCCAGATCTTCATTTTTTTTTTTTTTTTTTTTGCTTGATTTAACAGGGACGGGGAGCTACAAAGTGCCCTACTACCGTTGTTTTCCTTTTCTTGAAAAATCTAGGTTTGATTATGTGATTCCATATTTTATTATTATTCAGCTTGAAAATTCATGAGCTATAATTGTGTCATAAACTTATTTTGTTCTTTCCCATCATATTCTTTTAAAAAGATAAAATATACAATTTTTTACCCAGCTTCTTATTTTGAAGTATTATTTTATTACTGTGTGAGGATTCATTTACTTTTCAAATAACGTTAAAATGTACTTTCTGATATAATGTTGTTAAACAATTGCTTATATCAATGCTCTATTTAAATATTTTCTGAGACTCACTTCTACTCTTCTTATACCATAACTTCTCCTTTTACACGTACAGATAAACCTTGATAGAACACTTTCTTGATTTTCTTTTTCCATGACAAATAAATAGATGATATTCTTTCAGTTACTTTTATACATGAAACAAAACTTCAGTGAACATAGGGCATCTGGCTTAAAATTTGTTCCCCTGATGCATTTGTAGACATTTTCCCCATGCTCTAGCATTGGTGTGGTGCAGAAGAGGTCCTACCTCAGTTTAATTATTCTCCCGTGTCGGGTTACACTTTTTCCCACTCCTAGGCTGGCTGTCTTTCACTTCTCAACACAGTATATCCGGGTTGTGTTTTACTCCTCAAATGTAACCTCTTTCAATCTTTAGATTCAATTCAATTATTTTTCTGTTAATACTTCATTTCAGTATATTTTCTGTTCTAGTTTTCAGAATTATTGATCAAATTTGGATCTCTGTGTGCTGTCCTCTAACGTAATACCTTCTCTGCTGCTGTTTCATTTGCTTTCTTCTGCAACATGGCAGAGTGTTTCAAGGTGGGTCACCAAACGTCTAACTAAATCTTCTACATTAATAAGTTTTCTCTGTATTGTTATAATAAGTTTTAAATTGATTTTGTAAAATTTGTGGGTTTTTCATGTTCAGCTGCATTTCATTTTTTTCCTGTTTGTCCATTCTTTTTCCTCATCTCTTTGAACATACTGATTTAACACTGAAAAGACACATTGATAGAAAAGAATTTTTGAACTGAGTCCAAAGATTCAAAGAGGTTACATATAAACTGTAAAACACCAACATCTGGATACGTACTGATGAAAAAGGAAAGAAGACAATTTCCTTATTATGTCTGTCTTTTGTCTTGGAGTTGTTACTTAAATTTTGTTAAAATAAATTGTGTTCAATTGCATTATTGTCCTCATTTCTTTGCCTCTTCTTGCATCTGTTCCCTTGCTATGGCTTCATCATCATAGATGGCATAAATTCATTTCATCTTGTCTCTGGACTTGGCTATGTGACTTGCTTTGGCTGATGACATATGAGCAAAAGTCACAGTTTGTATTCCAAGTGCAAGCCTTGAAGACCTCACATGTACTTGCTTGCTTTCTTTTCTTTCTGCCAGATCATGGAAATAATATAACAGTGGGTAGTCTGCTGGTCAGCAGAGCCACCCTAGGTAATTAATAGACATGTGGTGACAAAAAGAGTTTCCAAGTAGAACCCAGCCTATGTCAATCAGATCCTAGTAGATTCACAGACACATGAGCAGTAAGAAAACATTACACTTATTGGAGTAATTTGTTGCATAGCAATAAGTAACCTATATAATATGTTTTAAAATATTTTCTCTGGTGAATCATTTTCAAATGTAATTCTGTCTGTGCTTCTTGCTTAATAAAATTTTTTGTAGGTCCTACTTTTATAACTTTATTCTTTTTTGCCTTGAATTCCTTATTGAAAAAATGATTAATAGATTTTTTTTCTAATGCATCTGTCTGTAAATAGCGATGAGGCTTCCTCTTTGAAGACCACAGATGAAAGGATTAGATGCTTTCTCAGAAGCCCAGCAACCTGATGGGAGTGTGGAGTAAGCCAGACCCAAATCAGAACTTTATCCTTACATGGTTTATTTTTCTTGTCTGGCAAACCTGCTCTGCAGGTAAGCAGATCCAGTGTGGCAATATCTTCTTGTGCTAGCTGTTCGTACTTTCAAAGAAGATATTCTCTGGGTTTTTGTTTTGTGCCTTGAACCCTTCAAAAGCAGATGTCCTGATTCTAATTGGCCTTATTACTGGTTCTGCTTCCTCTTCTAAAGAAAACTTGCTGCTTTGGGGAAAATTGTCAGCATGGTTCAAGGCACTTTATTTGCTAGATATCCTTGAAAGAGACTGGCCAGCTGCTCACAAATCTCACTTCATCTCCCTCTTAGATATTCGGCTAATGTATATTTCTGTTTCCTCTGCTTGTGGCTTGATATCTTAGGAATATAATGTGAATAGAAGTGACACTGTTATTTCCAGCTCTGGCTGATAAAAACTTTCTATGAACAATTCCCAATTTTTCAACAGAGGATAAAGAAAACGGAGAAAGTCCAATAACCAAGGGTTGCATCCGACCCACTGTTGTAAGCAATAAACTTTAAAAATTATTGAAAAAGCAGAGATTTTGTAAGATTTTTCAGTTAAGCAAAGTAGCTATACATGTTGTGAAGATCAAACTCAGAGAGATCTAGACTATTGCAAAAAGTATTACTCACTCTTACTATTACAGTAGACTGTGTGTTAGGTCTTTCAACATGACCACCCATGAATTTAATCTAGATATCTCCTTTTCCAGAAGAAAGGATTACAATAAAATGATACAGGAGCTGAAAGACAAAATAGACATTTTAAGAAAGAATCAAACTTGTATGATAGAGCTGAAAACACACTCCAAGAATTTCATAATACAATTTGCAGATATTAACAATAGAACACACCAAGCTGAGGAAAGATTCTCAGAGCTCAAAGTCTGGTTCTTTGAACTAAATTAGTTATAAAAAAATAAAGAAAAAACAAAAAAGAATGAACAACATCTCTGAGAAATAGGAGACTATGTAGATGACCAAATATAAGACTCACTTGGTGTCCCTGATAGAGGGAGAGAAAGCAAGCAATTTGAAAAATGTATATGAGCATACCAATGAAAACTTCCCCAACCTCACTAGAGAAGCCAACATTCAAATACAGGAAGTGCAGAGAACCCCTGTGAGATACTGTACAAGATGACCATCCCAAGTCACACAGTCCTCAGATTCTCCAAGGTCAACATGAAAGAAAAAATGTTAAAGGCAGCTAGAGGGAAGGCACAGGTCACCTAAAAGGGAAGCTCATCAGACTACTAACAGTGGACCTTTCAGCATAAACCATACAAGTCAGAAGAGATTGGAGCCTACATTTAGCATTCTTAAATGAAAGAAACTCCAATTAATAATTTACTATCCAGCCAAACTGAGATTCCTAAGCAAAAGAGAAGTAAAATCCTTTGCAGACAAGCAAATGCTGAGGAATTCATTACCACTGGACCTATCTTACAAGAGGTGCTAAACATGGAAGTGAAAGACCATTATTGGCCTCCACAAAAACAGTTAGGTACCTAGACCATTGACATTTGAGAGCAACTGCACAATCAAGTCTGCATAATAACCAGGTAACATCATGATGACAGAAACAAATCTGCACAAATCAATACTAACCTTGAATGTAAATGGACTACATGCTGCAAATAAATGGCACAGAGTAGCAAGTTGGATAAAGAAGCATAACCCAATAGTATGCTGTCTTCAAGAGACCCATCTCAATTGCAGTAACACCCATACGTTCAAAGCAAAGGGATGAAGAAAAATCTCACAAGCAAACAGAAAACAAAACAAAACAAAATGCAGGAGTTGCTATATTTCAATTTCAGACAAAACAGACTTTAAACCAATGATGATCAAAGAAGACAAAGAAGGACATTTTATCATGGTAAAAGTTTCAATTCAACAAGATTTAGCTCTCCTAAATATATATGCACCTAACACAGGAGAGCCTAGATTTACAAAACAAGTTTTTAGAGACCTATAAAGAGACTTGAAGGTGGAGGGTAAGAGGAGGCTGAGGATCAAAAACTACCTATTGGGTATAATGTGTAGTACCCGGTTTGCAAAATAATATGTACACCACAACATGCAATTTATCTGTAGAGCCAACCTGCACATGTACCCCTGAAAATTTTTTTTAAAAAGTCAGAAAAAAATTAGATGCTGGGAAAATTCAAAGTCACAGCTCTTTTTCACATTTTTTAATTAGGAAATTTTTTTTCCATATATAAACAATAGCTTATTAGAAAATATAATTGAGGGCCGGGCACGGTGGCTCAAGCCTGTAATCCCAGCACTTTGGGAGGCCGAGGCAGGTGGCTCACAGGGTTAAGAGATCGAGACCATCCTAGTCAACATGGTGAAACCCCATCTCTACTAAAAATACAAAAAATTAGCTGGGCATGGTGGTACGTGCCTGTAATCCCAGCTACTCAGGAGGCTGAGGCAGGAGAATTGCCTGAACCCAGGAGGTGGAGGTTGCGGTGAGCCGAGATCGCGCCATTGCACTCCAGCCTGGGTAACAAGAGCAAAACTCTGTATCAAAAAAAAAAAAAAAAAAAGGAAAGAAAAGAAAATATAAATGAAAAGAATGTTTTATTTACAATTCCGATTCCAAACACAAAATATCTGGAAATATACTTCATAAAAGGTGTGTAATACCTACATAAAGAAAGAATAAAAAACATTTCTGAGGACCATCAAGGATGATCGAAGAAAATGCAAAGATACTCTACATTCTTGGGAAGGAAAAATCGGTATTATAAAGATATCAACATACCTACATTTATCTGGAAATACAATATAATCAATTATTAAAATAACAGATTCATTAAGATAATGAATCTGTTTTATTTATACTGATAATCTAATATAAAACTTATCTGGAGGAATTAACATAGTAAAATATTCTGGGGAATCCTGAAAAAAAAAAAAAGAATAATGAGGAACTAGTTTTAGTGTTTCTGAAAATATATGTAATAAAGCAACAAAAATTAAAATTCTTTAGTCCTTATGAATAAGTAGACAGCAACAAAATGCAGTCTAGGAACAGTCCGAAACACTTGAAAATTTAATTTACAACAAAATGATAAAATATTTAGAAAAAAATTAAGTAAACTTGGGTCTTTATCTCACTCCTTACACCAAATATTTAAACAGTAAAAGAAAAAAAACCCACATAAATTCTAGGAAAAAATAACAATAATTTTATTTATTATTTTAGACCAAGAGAGGACTTCTTAAATGACCTAAACTCAGAATTCAAAAAGTGTCTATGAGAACCAAAGTAAACTATCCATCCAAACAAAATAAACTTCTGACTGGTGAAAAGAATCATCAACAAAGTAAACACAGCTGACATTTTTTGGGGAAAAATTTCAATACTGATGGCAGAAAATGTTATTAATTTATAAAAAGTCAAACAATATCATGGCAGTCAAAATCAGATCATTTAAGTGGGCAAAACATTAGGGATACACATTCAACAAAGTAGTCATGGACCATGAAAACAGAAAGTCCCTAAAAATGTTAATAATGTTCATTTTTATTGTTTTCTAGTTTATGCACCCAGGATTTTCCTTTGTACCTTTCAATGCCTTTTTAAAAAATGTCCTTGCTTTCTTCATTTTCTGGGTTTTACTTTCTCATTTTCTTTACTGAATACAAAACAACCGAAGGATAAGAAACCCGTTTTTCTATAACTGATTTTAATTAGACATGGTAAAACTGAGATGATTGTAATTACTCTTTTGTTATCTTCAAGAATCTACTCAAGCTTCCTCAGTTTCTCAGATAATTCTTGGGCAACAAACGAAGAAGGGAGAAGACATTTTATTAGCTGGTGACTGGCTAGCTGATTTAATAACCTAGAAGAGAACGTTTAAAAAACACAAACTCTGAAGTTGTTCATTTTCAAAAAAAAACTTTCCCAATTGATTTACCATTGCCTTACCTTCTTCAGTCATCTTTGAAGTTGTTACCCTTATGGTAAGAAGTATGTATTCATAAGGAACCATAATGTCCTTCAGGAAATACAGTACACCCTACAATTTTATATAAAACTTTGCTGTAATTTTTTTCTGTCCATTTTACTCTCTGGAGAAATGGATCTCATGCTCTTTGTCAATTTCTGAAAGTTTTTATTAATCTCCCCTCATCCCCAAATTGAAGAACCTTGCATAAATCAGAATCAGAACTTTGGCTCCAATAATAAAGACTTAATATCTTTGTGTGCCATTGCATCTCACATAACGAGATAGAACTTCCAAGGTGGGAATCTGAAATATTTTACCATCTTTTTTTTTTCTCTTGACATAGTAATTGGTGGGTTGCTACAGGCAGTTAGTGGTTAGGGTCCAGAAATGTCAGACATCTTGCAGTGAGAGGGATAGTCTATACAGGAAAGAATTCTCACGTTTTGACTAACCTTGGATATTACTGCAGGTGGAAACATTGGAATGATATGAACCTCAACCTATGTTTTACATGTATATACATGAAAGGAGTTTTGTATGCTTTATTATTTCATTATTTGAAAAATGTAGCTTTTTATTTTCTATTTCTCTGTAACAAATCATCATGCAGCTTAAAAAACATGTATTTATTATTTCACAGTTTCTATGGGTCATAGGCCAGTAGTTTGGACACACTTGGCTGAGTCCTCTGCTCAAGGTCTCACATAGATGCTGTGAAGATATTGACCAGAGATATGGCCTCATATTAGGTTCTCTTCTGAGTTCACATGGTTAGTGGCAGAATTCATACCCTTGCAGCTGTAGAACTCATAGCAACTTGCTTCTTCAAGGCCAGCAATAGAGAGAACTCTGCTACTTCCAGTCTCTCTGATCTCTAGACTTTCATTTAAAGGGCTGGCCTGATGAGACCAGGCCCAGTCAAGATCATATCTTTCTTAATCAACTCAAAATCAGCTTTGAGAAACCCTAGTGACATGTATTAAATTCCTTCATTTTTGTCATGTGGTGTGCAATAATCACTGGGTTGATGTCTCCTCAACCTTGTCATAGTCTATTGGTTAGAAGCAAGTTGCAGGTTCCATCTACACTCAAGGGGAGGAAGAGAGGTAAAGAGGGATGACTAATTAGGGGTCACACTTGGGTGTGTCTGCAATAACAACCATTGCATAAATCAAGGAAAGAGTGAATTCTGCTTTGCATGACATCTACTTAGAGTTGTTCACAATTTTGAAGAATGAGTTTACCAGCAGCACTTCTCATAGCACTCTACATATACATATGCTCCAGTCACCATGATTCCACATAGAAGTGAAAACATCTGACTAATTTCACTATACCTTCTAGAGTAAAGAGGTTCACGTAGAGAAACACTTAGTTTTATATAAATGATTCTCTGTTATTTTCTTTATATCATAGTTAATATGTTGCATTGCTTTTTTGAAATCACATGCATAGGTAGTTTATGTTACCTACAGATTTAATTTCCAAACAGTAAATGTAGAATTTTAAAATATTTGTTGGTCTAGTTGGGTTGAAACCATTGTGATTGGTAGGGAGTATGGGCTAAGAACATGAATAGACAATTCTTGAAAGAAAATATGCAAATGGCCAACCAACATGTGAAAAAATGCTCAATATCATTAATGATCATGGAAATGTAAATTGAAACCGCAATGCGATACCACCTTACTCCTGCAAGAATGGCCTTATTCAAAAAATCAAAAAAGCAGTAGATGTTGGTGTGGATGTGGTGATCAGGGAACACTTCTACACTGCTGTTAGGAATGTAAACTAGTACAGCTACTATAGAAAACAGTGGGGAGATTCTTGGAAGAACTGATAGTGGAACTACCATTTGATCCAGCAATACCACTACGGGGTATCTACCCAGAGGAAAAGAAGTCATTATACAGAAAAGATACTTGCACATGCATGTTTATAGCAGCACAATTCATAATTGCAAAGTCATTGAACCAACCCAAATGCCCATCAATCAACGAGTGGATAAAAAACTGGCATATATATATATATGATGGACTACTACTCCACCATAAAAAGGAATGAATTAACAGCACTGCAGTGACTTGGATAAAATTGGAGATTATTATTCTAAGCAAAGTAATTCAGGGATGGAAAACCAAACATTGTATCTTCTCCCTGACATGTGGGAGCTAAGCTATGAGAATGCAAAGGCATAAAAAGTGATACAATGGACTTTGGGCTCTGGGGGAAGAGTGTGAGGTGGACAAGAGATAAGAGACTACAAATGTGGTGCAGTGTGTACTGTTCAGGTGATGGGTGCACCAAAATCTCACAAATCGCCACTAATGAACTTCCAAATACCACTTGTACACCAACAACTTACGGAAAAATAAAAATTCAAATTAAAAAAACATGCCTTCCTTTTTCACATAAACTGAGAATCTTTTAACCATAATCCCAACCCATTAGCACAGACTCATTTATTAGATTAATTTGAAAGCATGGTAGGCCTGAACTTGAATGAATTAAATGAAATAGCTAAATTGTGAAACTGGGTAGAGAAGAAGCTATACACAACTTGGTGAGGAAAGCAAGAGAACTTACAGTTATCTGTCAGCTATGGGCTTCTCACTCAGACAAGATCAAGGAACACGGGAAATGGACACCCAGTGTGGGAGTCGCCAGCAGATACAGAACATTTGTAAAGACACACAGTAATAGACTTTACCGTTTGGCTTAGGGTGACCCTAATTATAAAAAGACTAATTCTAGCCAGGTACAGTGGCTCATGCCTATAATCCCAGCACTTTGGGAGGCCAAGGTGAGTGGATCACAAGTAAGGAGTTTGAGACCAGCCTGGCCAAGACAGTGAAACCCTGTCTCTACTAATAATACAAAATTAGATGGGTGTGGTAATCCCAGCTACTCATGAGGCTGAGGCAAGAGAATCGCTTGAACCTGGGTGGTGGAGGTTGCAGTGAGCCGAGATTGCACCACTGTAGTCTAGCCTGGGTGGCAGAGCAAGACTCCATCTCAAAAAAAAAGTATAATTCTGCAGCATGAAATGTTTTATTTGTTGGCTTTCTGAAGATAACCAACTTATTCTGAAACTAAACCAATAACTCGTATTCCAAATACTAATTGACTGGGATTATTAAAAGACTATTTTTCCCCCAATTTTTTTTTTAGAAAACCCTTTTAGGCTGTTCCTCTCCCATTTTCATTGTTTCTCTGCTTTTCTTTCTCTTTCTTTCTCCCCTTCTATCCCCTCTTCTATTTTGGAAAGGTCAACAGAGTGTTGCTAACAAGTTGACACTCAGGCCACATTAGGTACAACACACTGATTGCATAACAAGGCTGTCAATGGTTTGCCCATTGGGAAGACAGAGTAAGTAAGGATGTCTTTCTGAAAGAAGCAATTGCTCATTACTGCAGTTTTTTGTGCTCTTTGTCATATGCCCAAAGTTCCAGGGCACCTGTGGGAGTGGCCCCTTTTTACTCCCTTGAGAGATCCATGTTCCTACCCAGTGGTATTATCTGCCTCACCTTTTGAAGATGCTGGATATCTGTAGGGGCAAACATTAGGAATTCTTATGTGGAGAATGGGGTTCAATACTTGAAGAAATAATTTAATATACTGCAGGACCAAAGCAATGGTTGGGAAAGATTTCACAGTAAGAACAAATACTGGGAATTTTCAGTCACAAATTCTCATATCTAACATGAATAAACCTCAGCAAGGGTGATAAGATCATTGTAAGCTTTAGCAATAGACATTTGAATCTCATTTCTTGAGATTTGGGTGGCTCATCACTTAATAATTAATATTGTAGTGAACAGAATAGCTGAATTTGGCCATGACACATGGGCTATTGGGTAAAAGATTTTGATCTGAAATAGCCTTGTTAATTACATTCTATTTCAGTTTAAAAGGCTACCAAATTTCTGTACAGCCAAACATAGTCACTTTTCAAATATAAGCTTAAGTTCTGAATGCAAATTTATAGATTGTTTAAACCTAGGAAAGAGGATGCAAAGCAATTACATTTGACAGTCATTTTTGCTTATATGCAATTTTTACACTTGAAAAGTGCATTGTAGCTGTGCATGAATGTCACTCTTACCCCCAACTTTTTCGAAAAGCCACTGAATGTTTTCCTTTTTCTCTGCCCCTTATCTTCCTATTGAGGATAATTTGGAAAGTAAAGAAGAGACACAGAGGTTGCAGGAGCACATATGTTAATGACGATATTTTTTCTGTCCTGAAACAGTGATAATGGTGACTTTTGGCCTGGTTTATGATTGTTTGTCTGCATATGGTACCGAATACCATTAGGGAATGGCCTCTAACAATATAATTCTGACCATGCCACTTCTTTACTCAAAGGCATCCAGTAGCAATACACCTCAGCCAGAGAAGCAGCTCTTAAGAGATAGGGTGCCTCATTTCCCCCATGGGCTGCTCCAGCATTTCCAGTCTCTTCACTCTTAACACACACAGGCACATGCTCTCTGCAGAGTCTTTGCACTTCTGCTTTCCCTTATGAAATGCTCTTCCCCTGGACGTCTTCATCCTACCTCCCTTAGCTCTTTCGTCTTGTTTAAAAAAATGTCACTTTCTCAGTGAGATCTTCCTTGTCTTACTCAGTCTGGGCTTCTGTAATAAAAATGCTATAGACTGAGAGCCTTAACCACCAGAAATTTATTTCTCACAGTTCTAGAGGCTGGGAAGTCTGAGATCAGGGTGCCAGCCTGGTTGGATTCTCAGTTTGGAGACGCCATCTTCTCATCGTATCTCACCTGGTGGAGAGCAGAGAGGGAGGAAGCAAGTTCTCTCATGTCTCTTCTTATAAGGACACGAATCCCATTCATGATGGCTCCATCCTCACGACCAAAGGCCTTGCCTCTGAATGTCATCACATTGGGGATTTAGCTTCAACATATGACTTTGAATGGGGTTGGGTGCAAAAAATTTAGTCCATAGCATTTCTAAGTGATTTTGTTTAAATTTTTTACCTAACCCCTTCTGTGCTTAAACTTACTGCCTTAGCATTGTTCTTTAACTATTGCCAATGTAAACCGTCTATGTATCTGTAATTTATCACCTATGTATGTATGTATGTATGTACTATGAATGTGTATGTATGTATGTATCTACCTATCTAGTGTATCTGACTTGCTTCAGAAATAAAAAGTTCTTTAAGGAGCTGTGTTTTTTTTTCTTTTTAATTTCTCATTTATAACCATGGCACTAGAAAGTAAGAAGGCAAAAAGATTCCTTGCATATACATTTACTGAAGTA